ATGAAAGGGAGGGGGAGAATATGGTTAAAGCGTTGACGACTTTGACTTTGAAAAGTAATTAAATCCCGGGGTTGTCAAATTTTAACATGGATACTGTTGTACATGATATATAAAGTAATGAACAGTATTACCAGAAGACCAAATCTACAGAGATCAGACTTTGCAATGTTTACATTCTAGCGGTGTAAAACCAAAATGTATGTATACTGTCTTACCATTTTTATTTATCCTGAATATCTTGTTGCTTGTATCATTAAAGATTGACTGGAAATTATCTACAAAAATAAGAACCACTGGTATCAACCTATGATCTTTTTTGCTAATAGATATAATCATAATTACCAAAAAACACCTTTCAGTCGTCAGATCAAATTAAAGAAATCAATTTTTCAATCTCACAAAGTAGGTATAATTAATTAGTAAGGAATAAATATTGTTTAATTTTCATTAGTTACTTTTTAACAGTGTCAAAGAACTACAATCCTTGACAAAAGTCCTTGGAACACCCTGTGACCAATGAAAGATTTTGAAGAAATAAAGGTTTCCGGCTGTAAGATACAGATATATCCCCCTCCCCCCAAAAACAATGTTGGCTGAAAAGACTATTACTTACCCTAGCTGATAAACTGACATTGGACGAATTTCAAGCTTTGAAACTGTTGTTATTCAACATTGTTTCAAGGGGGAGAGGGGGATGCTACTGAATTTATGCGAAATTTTAGCTTGGTGTACCAAGACTTTTGGCAAGGATTGTCTGAGCGCTTTTTTTTAAACCGTTAGTTGCATGAAAATCAATGTTATGGGGGTAGGGGTTCTTCGTAGCGCTGATTTCATTGGCGTCGAAAAAAATTTGATATTTAAAATGGAATTGGCCTAATTTAGCTATTTTTCGAATTTTAGAGATATTATGATTATTATTCACTTGTTTACTTGAATTCTTCAAATTCTGCTCTGTTTTTTCGAAATTAGATATTGAAAATTCACCAGACTTGCAAGGGAAAAAACAAAAGATGAAAAACAGGAAAATTAAGTATTGCAATTGCTGTTCAAAGCACATGTACGTGTGAAAATGTCTCCAAGATAGAATTTTTGGAATGTCAATGGCGGAAACCTTCCTGTTTCTCACTGTGTCGGTGTTGTATAATTAAACGATAAGCTAAGAAATAAAAACGAAATTGACTATAGTATCAAAAGCAGTTGTTGAGTTGCTCTTTAACAAACATGGTGTTTCATAGCAAAATTAGCGACAGAGAGAGAGCGTTGGCTTGCTACTTGCGAAAGGGAAGGTCTTTGTCGTTTCGAAAAATAGCGGAACATTGCAAGATTTCTGTTTCAAGTGTGGTCCGTATTTGTAAGGAGGGGCCTTCAACTAAACAAGAGAATAAGAGGACAGGTAGACCACCACTGATGAGCAAAAGAGACAAGGCAAGGTTTCTTAGGACTTTCAAGAAGATGCGAGAAACAAATGGAAACGTCAGAGTGATGGATGTAGCAAAGGAATGCCAGATCACACATGTTAGCTACAGGACTTTGGTAAGAGCTCTGCATGATGCTGGATATAGGTTTCTGAATCCTAGAAAGAAGGGTATACTGTCAGCTAAGGATAGGAGGAAGAGAGTATCATATGCCAGGGATGCTTTAAAGAAACATGACAGAAATTTTTGGACGGACGATGTTTTGATGTATCTGGACGGAGTTTCATTCCATCACAAACAAAATCCGTATAACGACGCTTTGTGCCCAAGGGGACGAGTGTGGAGAACAAAAAAAGAGGGCCTTGTGTTTACAAGTAAAGGATCGAAGAACTTGCCTGGAGGGCGTACACTTCATTTGTTGGTTGGTGTTTCCTATTCGGCAGGGGTTGTTGTTGCGGAGGAGTACGAGAAGATGAACGCCCGGTGGTTCGCAAAATTTGTGCATGAGACATTGGACAGCACTCTCAGAGAATGTGCAGCGATGAAAAAGAAGGAAAAACTGTTATTCGTTATGGACAATGACCCCAGTCAAAGGAGCAAATTGGCAAGCGATGCTTTAGAAGAAGTGGGTGCTGAACTTGTTGAGATACCAGCAAGATCACCGGACTTGAATCCTATTGAAAATTTATTTAATATTATAAAATGTAATTTGCGACAGGAGGCGTTGAGAGGAAAAATCGTGAAAGAGGACTTTCAGACTTTTAAAGGAAGAGTTTTGCAGGCATTTAGTGACTTTGATGTAACTGTTATAGATAGAACTATTCGAAGCATGCATGATCGTTTGAGCACTCTAGCCATAAATGATGGATATAGAACTAAATACTAATTCAAAAAAACTTAAAAGTGTTTTTTTGTATGAAAGTTTCTAACTTATGTATCATAAAATTTGAACTGCAGCTTTGAAATTGCTTTTGTTCTCTATGGATTTGTTTCTCTGTAGTGTTTGGCAGCTCCTCCGTAAGCTGCGTGTTTGAAGATTATTTTAAATACTCATACTAGCAGTTCATCTGAATTTATTGCTTATTGTTTATCAGCAAAAATTTTCAAAAAGCCCTTTATAACTGACTAATTAGTATTGTTGTTCAAAGTTCTGGATAACGTCCATTGCTTACGTAATAAAAAGTGATAGAGTTGAATTGGATTGGAAAAATGCTCTTGGCCACGGTTTACCATCACGGTTTACCATTTTAAAAAAGCTTATAAAAAATAACAGGTTGCAGGTATATTTCGGTAGTTTCCGCAAAGGAGGTACATTACAACGTACCACAAGGCTGATAAGTTTCTACGAAACTGGATTGATAAATTTTGAGATTTAGCCAAAAATGTTCACGGTTTACCATTTTTGAAAAAAATGAATCTTAACTGTTCCTGTTCTTAGATGGAAAATGGTAAACCGTGGTGATTTCTTTCAATTACACTCGAATAGGCAAACGCGAGAATGGTTTTTTTTTGTCTTTAGAATGTACATCATAGTGTACCACTTTTTTCGGGGAATTATTTTAAAACTGTCATATAAACAAGAAATTCAAGGGGAAATGCAATGGTAAACCGTTGTCGTTTGGCTGCCCGAGTACCATTTCGCTTTGTACGGGGCAGCTTCTCTAGGAAGGAGCGTCTGGAAATCATTGTTATTCCAAGAGCATTTTTGCAAAACAATGGCCACATGGGGAGACTGTCTTCTGCTCTTCCAAAGAAAACTGATGCCTGAACGTAAATATGCGCCAGCGAACAGACATCATTTCTGTTTCACGATCATCCATTACCGAGCCTTTGATAAAGGAGATGGGGCCTTGGCAGTAGCAAACACTGGAGTGTCCCTCGTGAACTCGATGTCCTTGCTGTAGTTGGTTTTGGGTGCAGCAAAATGTACCACATGGCCTTCAAGCAACAGCAGCATGTCAGCCCAAGGAAGCATAACGGGAGACCAACGAAAATCGTTGAGGAATATAACCTCCTTGTTCTCAACTCCAAGCCATGCATACGAGCAAGTAGCTGGGGACAGAAAGCTATCGTACACCACTCTAAGGGGTCTAAGATGAAAGTCTTGCCACAGTTGGCGGGGCCAGTAATGTAAATATTACGGCCCTTGCCACGACCCATAACAAGCAGTTTGACAATGGCATTTGCAAACACAGACCTATCGATGCAATTTTTGTCAAGGATTTGGAGAGCACACTCGAGCCACTGGCCTTCACAGGTGCACCCAACGCTAAGCTGCTCCTTAAGGATGTCTATTCTAGACATAGAAGCCCTTTCTTGCTTCTCCTTGGCAGTCTCCAACTCCCATACGGTGTCCAGAAGATCATTCAGCTTTTATCGCCTCTGTTCAGGACAAACTCGTACAACCTTCTGTCACCCTTTTCAAAACTGGACTTAGCCCGAACAAGAACATCTAAACGCGATCGCAGCTTATTTTCAACTATAATATTGGCGACATCAAAGTTTGAAAGACGCTTTGACTTCAGCTTCTTTTCCTTTGAAGGGTTTTTTGCAGCTTTTTTCCTTGTTGCCTTGCTCGTTTTTGGAGAAGAAACAGTTTCAGGGTGATTGCTGCTGGTAATGAAACTACTATCCTCCTTGACAACATAATTGAATGCTGTATGATAGCCTGTGTGACCAGAAAAATTAATGACAATACCATACTTTTGTTGGACATAATTTTTCACTTTTAGCCATCTCTGTAATTTGTCCAACAAAATGCACATGTGGAAATGGTAGCCGTTTACTTTGTGCTGCTCCATGCAACATGCCCATTGGGAAATTTTTGCTGTCGTTACTGCCTCAAAACATTTCACGATCATATCAGAGAATTTTTCTCTATCATAAACTTCAGAGTTAGCGCTACTGTATGTTATCAGATAAACTTTTCTTACGTCTCTGCCCCCAATTTTTTGAGGATCTGCGTTGCTACTGGAGTTAGCCATTTTGACTATCTGAAGACATATGTAATCATAATTAAAGAATTTCAACTTTTACTCCCTCAACCGTCAACCAAATTGGCCTCGGTTTCAAAAAGTGACCTCCCTTCTTTAGGTAGATGCAACAAATTTTCAGAATACAAATAATTTCTAATTTTGCTTTATTTTACGTATGAAACCAATATTTTTAGAGTAGATAGACAATTATGTTATGAAGTGGACTAGATATTGAAAAAAAAAACACCACCACTGAAATCAGCGGCATGGAAAACCTCAGATTGGAACTAATTGCTTGATCTCAAATGCACTGCTTCAAAAATATTTGTCAGACAATCCTTGACAAAAGTCCTTGGAACACCCTGTGACCAATGAAAGATTTTGAAGAAATAAAGGTTTCCGGCTGTAAGATACAGATATATCCCCCCTCCCCCCAAAAACAATGTTGGCTGAAAAGACTATTACTTACCCTAGCTGATAAACTGACATTGGACGAATTTCAAGCTTTGAAACTGTTGTTATTCAACATTGTTTCAAGGGGGAGAGGGGGATGCTACTGAATTTATGCGAAATTTTAGCTTGGTGTACCAAGACTTTTGGCAAGGATTGTAGCTCCGTAATTGACCATTTTGGAGATGCAAAGCCCAGATTCTTAAGTATATTCATTGAAAAAGAGAAATTGTCTTGTCCTATTAAATATAAATTTAAAAACTTTTTTATATAGATGCACTGATCAACATAAAAAGTTTTGCTGATTGCAAAAAAGTTGTTTTAAGCTATTAGCTCTGTTTGAGGAAGCTTTGAGAAAGAATTGGGTTATAACACTGTCTGCTTCTACCTTATTTAATTCATAGGCATCTGTTATTACTGTTGCTATTATTGACAGACAGTGATAATGGAAAGGCTTAAACATTACTTATTAGTTTTTTATTGAGTTATAATTTATAGGCCCTATACTTATGGGCCCCTGGGTCGGTGACCCGCCTGGCCCCCCCTTCTCCTCAGCATTTTAGGTAACAGGTACAGGTAAAATTGGCTGTAATGGAGTTCGTCTTATAGTTACTGCTGGATCTACTATCTTTGGAGAATTGTCTGTAGATGAATAACGTATAGTAGACGAACTATCGATTGAATTATTTTCATCAACTATTGCAGCAGCAACGATTCTTTGTCTAGGCGGTCTAGGTCTAGGGCTGGGTCTAGATAATGCTCCAGCAATAGCTCTAGGTATGGTACTAGGTAATGGTGACAAAAAAAGAAGAAATTTCCTCTCCACTCCAGCGATAATATTGCATAACCATTGATTTTCTTTTGTCTAAATTAGCTCTTTGTAAACGATTTTTACTATTTTCAGACATATTTAATCTGTTTATAAAAGCAGCATTATAAACAGTACGTCCATTTTGTCTTACTCCTCTTCAAACTGTGCGCTATCTTCCAGGTACTCTATATCTTCTTAGAAACTGTTCAAATTCGTCTGAACCAGAAGATTCACTTAATTAATTTGGACGTGCAATTATCCAATAAGAAATATTTATTCGTGGAGGTGCTTCAGCAGGATTAACAACGAATTGTCGTGAATTACTTGCTGATGATCCTATTATTATAGGTGCAGCATTATTTCTTGTCAATACTCTTCTTTCTACTACTTAAAAAGATCTATCTATAAGTGAAACCTGTAATCTTGCATTACCTTAAGGTGATACTCTGTTATTATGTAACATCGTTAATACTGAATCAAATGCATTTCTTTTATATAAATACTGGTAATGTTCTTAATGCTGATATTCGTACTGGTGATAATGGTAAGCTAAAGGGGTAAGCTAAACGGACTAATTGAACCATTTTCTACTACCTTTACCGTTAAATAATAATCTTTTACTTTTGTTCTTTGTAAATGCTTTGTTTAGTATTCTTGTTATATATTTCATCAATTTATTTGGTCTTTTTTTAAATGTATAACACCCATTTTTCTCATTTAAAGAAAATAAAAAGAGGAGAATGAAACACTTTTACGTTAAAGTTTTGCAATACGTTTTGCTAAGCCCAAAACAACAAAACAAACATCTTGGAGTGGCTAGTAAATTGGTAATTCACTAGCCACTCCAAGACCTACTCTTGCCACAGTAAAAAATCCCCGTTCTTTAATTCTTCTATTATTTGTTCTTATTCTATTGGAATAATAATTTCTATCATAACCTTTAATATCTATAGCTCTTTTACCTCATTTTTTAACTCTTCATTTATAAACTGGAATAAAATAGTAATATAAAAAGTTAATAAAACAATAAAAGAAGTTAACCCATACTATTCAAAACCTTCTTTGTACCCCATTGAGAAGCACCCAAAAGTGCACCCATAGCTGATTTTTTAAGCTGCTTTTTTCGCAAATTTTTAAAACATCGCCCAGTAGATTTAAAAGTCTGCTCAATTTACCTTTTCCTTTTAATAATCTAGCATGATAACGACGTCTTTTTCTTCTACCTGGTTGACACTGAATATCATAGGTTATTTGGTGCTCATTAATATTCATGTTTGATCATGGTCTGTTGGATTGGTCTGATCGCTATCATTCCCATTGCTTGGTGATCACTGAAAACTGATGTCTTTGTTTTTTGGCGGCAAAGTTTTAATGGCGAATGACATGCTTAGAGCGAGTAAGAAGACCTGTAATACAAGAGTTATGAGGAAGCATTAAAGGTCATTCGAGATTTTGAAGTTGACACAACTACAAAATTTGTTATTTGGAAGAAAAAAATCTGTACTTCCCAATAAATGTCGCTCTGTTTGCAGTCCATTGCTAGGCCCTTCTCTGTAAACTAGACTTATCTATGTTTATTTAATCTCATAATTTGGCTAACGAGCAACCTCAAGATTTAAATCTGTTGGTTGAAGTAGTTTTTTAATTTACTCTACTGGTAGACACCAAATTATAATTTGTTAATCTTATATAAGTACTTTCTTTTATAGAAAAATTAACCTTTTGCAATATGTTTCTTTACAATAATCAGAATAACCTTCACTTACATTTGGAGGGTAAAATAAGGAATACAAAACAAAAGAACAAAATAACACATTTAGCAAGAAAGGACAAAAATGGCTAATTATACGACACAAGTAAACTTTCTAGGCCTAGCTGAAGGTGAGAAAAGCGGAATAAATACAATAGATAAAAGAACAAAAGAGAAGCGCGAAGGCAGATGGTTAACTACCCAGGAATGCACAAAAACGAGAAAGGGTGAATGCTGTCTGTCCCTACCATGAAGATTAGAAAATAATATTATGTGGAAATAATAAATAGCTGTGAAAAGAAGAAAATAATCCAAGAGATTGGAAATAAAAATAAAACTATGTTTCAACTAACCTAATATTAATATTCCTGTAGCAATGTTATAATCTTGATTAACATATTCCTTCCTAAAAAATGTTATAATAATACAAATATTTCAGCAGGATAAAAGCTTCAACATAAGTAATGCTGTTTTCAATGCTTATCCTGCTTAAAAGAAAAGAGATGTTAAAAGCCTAATTTACAATTTCATAACTACATCTCTTGTACATGCAGCAGCTTGCAGCTAAAGTTAATATGCCATATGTAAATGTCACCCTAGATGTCAGTGCTGCTATAAATGCCTTTAAAGTTTTATGGAATTATCCAAAGAAATTTGGCAATGTTATAATTCATCTCAGAGGTTTTCATTTCATCAAAGAGAACTTTGGTGTTTTTGGCAAGCTAGTGACTGGATCAGGTTTTGAGGATGTTGTGTTTCAGGCAGGAGTGTGTTCTTCTGGAAGCGTTAAGCCGCTCTTACACTGTCAGATTTTGTGTAATTCAATTATGTCGAATCTAGTTTTGCTTCAGATTTGCTGAATCGAATGCCGCTTCTACACGATCAGATTTTGTCGAAAAAGATAAGAGTCAAATGCCTCACATCTGTTTATGAAATGGAGTGGGTTGCTTCCGCTGCCAGAGTTATAGCACTGGTATTAAAAAACGAAGAAATAAGAGGCGAAAACGAACAAAATGGACAAAAGAATGGCTTAATCAATGTCCTGTATTTGGAACATACGATACACATTTGAATGAGTTGCGCTTCACCAAAGGAAAGGACTACATGAAGGACAACATGAGTATTTAGCAATGAATAATTCTGTTTCTTCCTTTTTGTTGAACTTTGGCTGCGATCACGCCATTTTTTTAAATGATTGCAAACAGACTGAAACAATACAGAATTTGATAATTCAGATGACGTAGCAGCGTGGGCGAGCAAGAACGTCATTCATTCACTTTTTGATTTGATGAATGGAGTAGAACATGTTGATTCTTGAAAAATCAAATTCGACAACGCTGCTACAAAAAAATCAGATTCTGACTGTGTAAGAGCAGCTTTACAGGTGTTTTGACAGGTTCTCGTTACAACAGGGCCCGAACTATACATGCAGCTTTCTCTGAAGCTCTTGAAAGGTCACTGTTTGAACAATTTTTCAACGAGACAGCCTTACTCTTCCAGATTCTCTCTCTGAGCCACTTGATGATCCAACCCTCGATATTTTGGCATTCCTCAATAGCTACTGAAAATGCAAAAAAATCTTCACGAAATATCTTAACTTCAAAGAATATGCTCGCAATGGAGACCTAGGGAAGACCCCTCAGTTCTGGGTACAATTATACATGGATCTGATGGAATGCCAAACAAGAATATATTTGTCTGTTCAAGAGAATGACTTTACTTCTTGACTTGCTGCATGAAAAATGTTCCTTCGATGTTCTTTGCTCTGAACAAGCCAAATTATTGATCAAAGGGGAGAGCAAACATTTAATCACGATGCTAAGACTGCAGGAGGAATTAAAAGTTTTGATAGTGACAGCAAATCTATTTTGAAATGAACACTAAATAGGTCAGAACTAGCCAAGAACACATCTGAACTGCTAAAAATGGCTGATATAAAGTCCCCCAGAGATATTTATAAATCATTGCAACCTTCATAAATCCTCAAATCTGAGTCCTTCACTAAAAGAATTGTCAAAACATTATAAGAAGAACACACAAATACTTTTGGATCTGATTTGGATAGAAGTTTATTATACAACTTGAGTTCTGGTGTGCCTGTGGATGAAGTTCTGTGCGGTAGCATACTAGGCACAAAAAAGATAGGGGAAACACTACAGGAAGCGTTTGCTCAAGAAAGATTGGTAAAGAGAAAAGTTCCGTTTCATGAACCAATAAAGAGAAACAAACTGGTTTCATTCAATAGTTCCTTGAAAAAGACTACAGCTGAGAGAAACAACGTGGTTGAAACAATTGACCTTTACCCTAATTACGTCATCAATGCAAATTTGCGCTTTGCATTTTGGGACTAGTCGTCACGCAGCCAACCAAATTGTTTATTTTTGTGAACCGACTTCGTGGAAAACAGCTTAAAAAACATCATACAAATATGTCAGAAAATAGCGATTCAGCCACAATCCAAGCAAGAAATCAAAGCCCTAGTTTTTTTAAAGACTCTTGCCCGGGCATAAATTAGGCCTAGCCCCAACAACGCTATCCAAAACCATGAAACCGAAAGCATAAACATTACAGATGGCTGGACGAAACAGAGAATAATATCGAAAAAGCACTTATTCACCAATCTTTTTCTTTTCTAAGACGTTGCATTGCTCCGAAAGCTTTTAGAAACAAGAAGCAAGGGTATAAACTCTGGAAGGAAGGATTTGTACGCAATGTCTCTGTCAGAGAAAATGTCCCGATGAAGAATACTTCATACAATGTTTATGTCCACCTAGATCAGAGTGATGGTGAAATTCTGTACTCTAAAGGCATGTGCAAGGCAGGTCAGAGTGGCTGTTGCAAACACGTGGCTGCTTTGCTTTTTACTTTGCTAGACTTCACTAATGCACAGTACAGCAAAATTCCTGATATGCTCACCTGCACTCAAGTTGCTCAAAAGTGGCATGTGCCATCAGCAACAAGTATGACATTGTCAGCTGCTGGGAAGTTTGATGATGTCATTTTTAGTAAATATGAGCCAAACAAAGAAAAGAAAAGAGCATTTGCCAGCCAAGCCAGTCAGGATGACTGTGCAACCCCTCAGTTTGCTCAAAAAGTTAGTGCTAACGCATTTAAACAACTGGCTAATGATTTGAGTGATGCTGGAAGAGCCACATTTTTGTGCAAAACTTTGCAATCAAATGACTTTAAGCCAACTGAGTTTTTTGAGACATCATGCAGAAAGCAGGAATCCAGAGTCAGAGGGCAAACGGAGCAAAGCACATCTGAAGATGCTATTATATTAAATATTTTTGAAAACATCAACAGTGAAAACACACCTCCTTTTCATCAAAGTGTCATGAAGGAAGAGATCAGGCTCAGTGTTCAAAAATTGGTTCGAGTTTCTCGAAACCAAGCCATAGACATATGCATTGCAACACAAAGGCAAGCCAAGGATCCTGCCTGGTTTGATGAAAGATGCAAACGTGTGACAGCATCTCATTTTAGGAAAAATATTTGGCCCAAGGCTATCATAAATTCCATCACAAGAGCAAGGGCTACAGAAAAAGAGAATTTACCAGCACCATTAAAATGGGGTATTGTTTATGAAGATGTAGCAATCACAAGATATATTGAAAGTAAACGATTGGATGGAAACTTTCAAATTAAAAAATGTGGATTCATTATCAACACTGCTATTCCATGGCTTGGTTGTAGTCCAGATGGGGTAGTTTTAAGAGACAATGTACCAGCAGGGTGCATTGAAGTAAAGTGCCCATTCACCAAAAGAGAAATGACTTTGGCTAGCGCTTCTGAGGAAAAATCTTTCTTTTTGAAACCTGGTTCAAATGGACTTCAGCTGAAGAAAAGACATAATTACTTTTACCAATGTCAGGGTATACTGAACATTATTAATCTCCCATGGATTGACTTTGTTGTTTTTACAAATCTGGACTTGCATGTTGAAAGAATTTATAAGGACACTGAATTATGGCAGAATACAATGTTGCCTGAAGTGACAGATTTTTATTGTAATTATATTTTTAAAGATTGATGAGAATAACATTTGATTTTTTAAAGTTTTTTGAGTTTTATATCTCGATGGTTTAGGCCTCTCTTAGGGAAAATTTACTTTCTCAATTTTTTGGATTTTAACAGACGAGTTCATAGTGACTTCAAATGATGTCACTTGAAAATTCTAAAAATAAATCGACTTCTCATAATATGGGAACATCACAGATGCAATACTACAAATTTTTTAAATGTGAGGTGTTTACTTTTGAAGTAATCAAAAATGATGTCAATGATGCTTACTATTGGAGATAAAATTCTATTGGAGGTTACTATTGTCAAATGTTCCTTCCCTCTAAGGAAAGGGAGTATACTCAAAGATACATCCTTTGGTAAAACATTCTCCAACTCAAAGCCTTTCTCAGCCATTATTAAGTCTCCCGGTTCTAGAAAACTCCAAACCCCACAATCCACTGTTGCCTGTTTGTCCTACCTGCACAAGTCTAATGCAAATGAAATACCACCTGCAGGTGAGATTCCCACAAGTCCCTTAGCAGTATTTTAATGTTTGTCATGTGAAAAGGTCACACTCTGTGATCTTACTGAGCTAGCCTTTCAACGAATAATTCTGTGCAGTCTATAACAACACGTGTTTCAGGATAAAGGGCCTTGATACAGTTTGGCATGGTCATCAACACACTCTCTTGTTGGCCAAATTGGCATCATCCGAAAAAAGTTATGCAGGAAGTCAATCCATGTTGTGGAAATTCTTGACAAATGAATGACAGAGATAGAAGCACTGTATGCAAGGTCTTCTTCTTCAAGCTACCCCAAACGCAGTCGAACCAATACAAGGAAAAACTCCTGCTCTGGTATAAATCTTCGTTTTGGTCCCTGTTTAACATGGTCTGGGTTTGTGAAATTCTCTGAATTGGTGCCAGAATCATAATAAACTAACTTGTAAGCCGCATCTCCAAAGGATTTTAACAGCAGTTTAAAAGTTATGTAATCAGGTAGGCCAGTATAAAATCTGAACATTTTGTCATCTTCCTTTATATCATCTAAGGTTAACCCTGCCTTTTTCCATTTAAGAGCAGCCTTTCGGCCATTCCAGCATTTTCTGATCTGAGTCTTTTATTCTCAATTCTAAGTCTTTGGTTCTCATCTTGTAGCAGCTGAATTCTGTCTTGAAAATCTTTCTGTTCATCAATTCATGAGTTCTGTAACTGAAACGATCCATGCTCGTCATCAGTTTCCAATTCAACTTGTTCTGAAAAAATGCTTCGTGGACTAGGTTCAAAGAGCACACTGTTCCTGGCCTTGGTTGTTGATCTTGGCTTGATTTGCTTGTCCTTGGCTGTTTTTGGAGTCAAAGTTGGTGTGCTGCACATGAAAGTCTTCCTGCTGCCAGGGAAATGCTTTGAGCAGACTCGATGCCCTGATGTCGGCTTGAAATCTTTCCTGCCAACTAGATGAATCCACTGCTTCCTCAGAAGCTGCTTTTCCTCTGACCGACCATCAGGAAAATTGTAAAAAAAGAGGTGAGGGTCTCTTTTGCTATTACTGAAACATTCAGGGACGCAACAGGTGTACCCTCTCTTTCCTCCTTGTCTTCGCTTGATGTCTTCGGTTCCTGGTCTATCACCTTCATGGCTTCTTGATTCAATATAGGCTCCCTGTCTTCTGAAATAGAATTTATGCCCGGGCAAGAGTTTTTAAAAATACTATGGCTTTGATTTCTCGCTTGATTTGTGGCTGAATCTCTATATTCTGACATATTTGTACGATGCTTTTTAAGCTGTTTTTCACGAAGTCGATTCATAAAAATCAACAGTTTGGTTGCCTGCATGACCACTTGTCCCAGAATGCAAAGCGCAAATTCGCATTGAAGACGTAATTAGGGTAAAGGTCTATTGAAGTTAACAGACACGTATTAGGAAAACAGCTTACAATATCAGCAAAAAGAGAAAGGGCTATCGATTTTGAACTAGCCCTGAAGTATCCCCTTTGCACCATGCCACTTACAGTGGTGGATCCAGCGGGGTGCAAAGGGTGCAGTCAGACTTTCAAAGTACTGTTTCTTGTACCTGTTCCTGTGCGTGTTTCCAAAAAAAGCTAAAGATTTCTACTGATTTGATGTTTTCATCTATTTTGCATGAAAAATACCCTTTTATCCAAATAATTTTCTTTTGTCGCATTAATGTTTATAATAGTGGCATTTTCACCGGAACGAAATTCTGGTAGAATGCAAGTGCTGACCAAATATATTGCGGATGACAAAATCATCCTCCAATGAAATCCCATTATTCCATGCTATTCCGAGCACCGGTGGGTTCCTAAATTAGAATTGTCACGAACGGAGCTAGCCAGTTAACTCTTTTCTCACCGGTGCTCAGATCCAGCATTATCCAATCATTTGCTTTTTCACCGGTGGTCAACGTCATCTGAGCACCGGTCAAGACGAAATAGCCAACAAAAAATCAGGGAAATTGATGGATAGGGAACTGGCATAGGCTTTTGGGATTTGCAGCGATTTTTGGTGGTATTATAGGTGCATGAACAGGAACGTTGCTTTGATATTTATGGCAAAAGAAAAGCCTGGGCGTTGCGAAAGTTTTCGAGTTTTATAGGGAAGTCAATAGCGCTGACTCGCTCACTGATTCACAGCCCTTTTCTGGAAGTGTAGCGAAGCTACAGCCCAAGATACCTATCTATCAGATAAGTGGTAACATGCAAACTTTGTGGAAAATTGCAAGACATCAGCAAATATTACATGCATCTGGTTGAGGAATAGGGTGACATGCCAGGTTGCGTTTTATTAGCCATGTTATTAGTTGATTTGAGTTTCACAAACGTTAATCGATGTTGTTTGTTTTGAGGTAATTGTGATACTACGACAAAGCTTTAATTGAAATGTTGAGATATTCCCCTTGTTTTTTACGCGATTAATGGCATCACAGCCCCCTTTGTGATTTCTTTAATGGAAGAATAGTTCAAAGAGGCGTGTAAATGCCTGTCAAAGTTCTTGGAACATCAATAAAAATTTTAACATAATATATTAAATGAAAGAGAAGTAAAATTCATTTTTTAAGAATACAATTCCAAGCTGCAAAAGATAGCTTTCAACCAGTTTAACGAATTTCGTAGAACATTTTCTAAATTTTCATGAAATACATTGCCTTATTTTGTACAATACTTTCCTTGCTTCCATAGCCACTTTTGTTTACCGTAATCTATCATATTTTTGGCCCCATTAGCGAGTGGGGCCTATTGAGAAAAAGATAAAAATTCACCAATAAAAAATTGAGCTTTGGAATTTAAACAATGATTGTTTTTAGAAAAATGGGCATAATAATTACAAGATTTCATTTTCATCCGAGTCGAAATCCTAGTAGATTTGCAAAAGTACTGGTGTGGCATCTTGAATATTTAAATTGTCAAAACCTACAAATGTCTTTTTATGTAATTCTGTCAGTAGTTGCTGAAGATTTTCCAAATTGAAATAGCATAGGTTTTATTCAATTTATTTAAACTGATTACTATTGTTAAGATTTGCAAAATTATATTTTCAAAATATTTGGAGGGTGCTAATTAGAGAAATTTTGCTCAAAAGGGGGGGGGCCTGCATTAGAGAGGGACGCTCATTGGAAAAAATACGCTACTTAACATCGCCACCGAAAATGAACGTGGTCAATTTGTTGGGGATGGTCCCTTCAACTGAGCACCGTTCAAAAAATTTCCTGGATCCTCTTCTAACTTAGTATTGCAAATGCTGATGGATCTCAAAGAAAGATGGTTAGAAGCAAGCTAATGGAAATAATTTCAAAGAAAGCTAGTTTGGTATTGACCCATTCAAGAGATAGTCAGCCTCCTAGGAACATGGTCTCAGCGTTCATAATCGTTCTGATGGCAAGCATGTGGCAACTCACGTTAATTCCTGAAACATATGAAGAGCTCACATGGAAATTTTTAAGAAGTTTACCTACCGGTTACAGTAGAGTAGATATAGGTGCTGATACATATCGTGAAAAATCTATCAAAGGAGCGGAACGTTATAAATGAGGAAGTTCAAGCGAGATCATTATTTGTTCGCCAAAGTCAAAAGTAGTCAAAGGGCTTTTGAAGAATGGAAAAAACAAGATCGGTATGATATTGCTGATAAGGGAAGTGATGGAGGTCAAATGGCTCGATAAAGAGTTTCCAGATAACAGTGAAAATTTACTGTTCGACCAAGATTATGATGCACTTTAAGCAAACGATATAGAGAGGGATGAAGAGAGTGAGGAAGATGAAGAAAACTAACAAGGTATCTATCAAGTGATTTATTTAGTTTGACTTCTTGTACCTGCCATAGACCGGTTGTGCAAAATTAGGAAAGTGGACATAAACGAAGTTTTGGTTGCGTGTAGAGGTAATTTTTCCTTTTATGGTAAAGAGTGACAGCCTGTTCAAAAAGTAGCCTTACCCTATGGACCCTATGTGGTCAGAATTATTTTATTTTAAATAAAAACAGCGGTTTCACAAATCGCATCAATAACCCTTCTATAACCTAATGCTTCAATCACCAATCTTCGAGAATATACATGAAGAAAATTGTTTTTCTGTATTTGGTAAAGGGTAAAATGAGTCACGTGGCCAGAAAGATCACCCTCAAGGATGCCCAAACTTGTTCTTGATGATTGTCAATATATTGTCAATATAATCTTCAGTTAGATTACGCTTTGGTCGTTTAAAACGACAAATAATTTAAAAACTCCTCCGCAGAGGCAGTAGGCCTAAGATACCAGGAAGAAAAGCCCCCCTGCTACCAGACGCACCAGCAGATCCCCGTTTACCATCGCGATTCTGAATACCCTGGTCTCTAGCTAACTGGAATCTCATTATCACCTTCAGTTCTTATCTTTGCCCCCCTCTGCCAACAATGTTATGTACATACTGCAGATTATTTGCTTCATTTGCAACTACTTTTTGCTCATGTACCATATTTGCTTGTGTCAAAGCTGCAACTACATAATTTTATCCAAAAACAGCTTTCAATTTTACGAGTTGTTCCTATTCAAGAGTGGATGCTTTTTTCTTAAAACATTTCATTAGGAAAAATTTGAATATTCCAATATTACTAATTTGAACATTCAAATGGTGGCTTAAAGTTGGTTAAAATTTGCATGTCCATGAAATACCATTGATGTGTCTCTATTTCCTAACAACCTTAATGTATCACTATGTCTTAATGAATTATTCTAAAGACACTGTCAAAAAATATTTTGATTGTAAAAGGGTCAAATCATCGCGGTTTCCAATTGAAGATTCCATTTCTCAATTCAAGGGACCTTTGTTAATTTTTCCCCTTTCAAAATGTAGCTTTTGCCGGAGATTGGGCTTGCAGCTTAGAGCTGTCTTGTTCTATACATTATAGAATGTTGTTATTTGGATTAAATATAGTCATGAAAGTTGTAAGGGTCTAACCGTGTGCATAACTGAGTTTTAAATCATCGGCCAAGTGGTAGTTTTAAAAAACTATTTTTGGTTATAAATTTGCTGGTCTTTGAGATATTGATATGAAATAATCTCCAGGAGCAGGAGGCTGGTGATTAAAAAACTCTGTGGTACTTGATCGATACAAGCACATATTGGCATTATGGAGAAGAGCACTGACAATGTAGAGCTGACCCACAGGACTCAACCCAATTTTCTGATTTTTCTCGAAGTCCATGAAATTAAAACTATTGATGATATCCCCAAAAATCGATTCAACTAACACCCTAACTCGGCTCATGGACTAATCAAATGCATGCTCTGCTGGTGTTAGGTTGGGTCTTTTGGGAAATGGGCGTTGTGAATAAACACTGTGGGGCATGCAGGATCATCATACAAACATAGTGCTTGACCTTCTGGAGAGAAAGAATATTCTACCAGTTGAGGTAAAAGCCCAGACGTTGCAAGCAAAGCAATGTCATGATGACTTCCCTCTACAGGACCAACCAGGTTGGCAATCAAACCATTTGGTGCAACTACAGATTGAAATTTGATTGCATGCACCCATTTGTAACTGTTGAAAACAGGCCTTTGATTGTGTTTCGGCTTGCATATGGGCCTAACTGTACCGTCAATAAATCAAGGTTGGTCTAAGGTTGGTCTAAGATCTGGAGAAGGTAACCAAACGGTGTGTGTAACATGCCTACAAGCATGTTGGAAATCCCCATCATGCGCTCAACTGGGAACTGGGCGACCAAGCCTTGGAATTAAATCGCCATATCTGTGAGGATATGAGTGGCAACAAAAGAGGATGCAAAGTGCTTCAGCGGAGTCAAAAACAACACCCTTGTAGATCTCTGGTGGCAGATGAAGAGTATCTATCAGGATGTAAACATCTTCCTTCCTAAATCGGAACTCTTCTTTACACTCATCAGCATCCATCTGCTCCAAATCAAACCTTTGGTAATGCCAATACGGAAAGTACGGATTCCTTCAGACATTTGTGTCTGCCAGGAGAAGTGACTCTTTCCCATTGATGAGACGTGCATCATTAGCATAGAAAATTTAATTAAAGGCATTGAGTCATGGTAGATATACCTTCTCTATAGGGGGTCATTTGGTTTCAGGGTCATCGATGCTATATAGGGGGTCATTTGGTTTCAGCGTGATCGCTGCTATTTCGTGTGATACTTGCATTCGTTGTTGACAACTTGCTATTGATGAAAATTGCTTTGTCAATCAGTACGAGGTGAGTTCATGTGACCGGTTCCAGATCAACGAATAGCGTTGCAGTCATGAAAATCATGACTCAGCGGATTTTGGCACCTAGGGTATACCCAATCCATTTTATCATGACTCAATGCCTTTAACTCACTGAACGTTAGCCATGTTGGCTCTGAGTCGTCAATGTTAGATTTTGTGAAAACAACAAAATCAAATTGGGACACTGTTGGGACGATGTGACAGCACTAGTTTACAGGAACCCTGTGAGTCGTTGTCTTGGAAAATCGTAAGCTTTTTAATTTCCCATCATCCAATTCGTCATTTTCTCTTCATTTTATTTCTATATCTACCTCATTTATAGAAAATTTTCCTCACAAATTTTCCTCACATGGTTGCTTGTGACTGCCATGACCATTTCTCTCCAATCCACTCTGTTCTGGGCCATGGTTAGCACTTCGTAGAGTTGCATGCCAGTGAGCGATTTGATGTTATCAGTCCACCGCGTCGGGGTCTGCCCCTCCCTCTACTGCCCTCAACCATACCCAATATAGCAATCTTTTCTAAGCTGTCATCTGGTTTTCGTGCGGCGTGTCTGAAGTATGTGAGTTGTGCTCTATGAATGAGATTGAGTAGACTGTTTGGACGGTATACTCTGTCAAGCACGCTTGCATTGGTTTGCCTTTTGGACCAGTGGATGCTCAGCATATGACGCCCAACCACATTTCAAACGCGTCAATTCTTTTTCAGGAGCGTGTCTTCAAAGTCCATGCCTCCGCACCACAGAGGACGATGGGAAATACCAAAGACCGCATCAGTCGGATTTTCGTGTCTAACCGGATGTCATGGTTCTTCCATATCTTCTGTAGCTTTCCAACAGCAGACCTGCCCATCGCTAACCGTCGATCAATCTCCTTTTCACAGTCTCCATCAGGTCTAATCATCGAACTGAGAAAGTTAAAGTTGTTCACTTCCTCCACTTCTTTGCCGTCGACAAATATATGGTTGTCGTCTGCGGTGGTTTTCATGATTTTAGTTTTGTCGACAGAGAGATATAAACCGCATTTCTCACTTTCTACTTTGAGCTTTTGAAGCAATGTGTTCATATCTTGGATGGTTTCGGCGATGAGGGACGTGTCATCAGCGTATCTAAGCTCGTTTATCAACCGCCCACCAATAGATACACCCATTTCCATGTTCGATAACGCCTTCCTCATTATGTGTTCACCATATAAGTTGAAAAGGTGAGGGGAGAGAATGCACCCCTGTCTTACTCCCTTTCCAATGACAAATTCGTCGCTTTCACCACTTTCTGCTCTGACAACTGCACACTGGTTCCGGTAGAGTTCATGTAGGAGATGGATTATGTGTTCTGGAAAGCCCATATCTCTCATTATACTTAGCAAGAGGCCGTGGTCAACACAGTCGAAGGCCTTTGCGTAGTCAATAAAGCAAAGGTCGGATGTCGAAAAAAGAGCCGTAACAAGAGCTGGTGATTTGCTGCAGCAGTACTTGGGAGTTAGTCTTACCTCTCTAGACTTTCGCATCATATGCAAAAAATGCAATTGACAAATTCATTCTGCACTCAAAGTGAAAGAGAAAAAGAAGCAAACATTTGAAGAGGTTCGACTCAAATGTTCGAATTTCATTAGAAGAAGTGTTAAGAGACTGGCCCTTAGTAGTCCTAATCAAATTGCTGATCAGGAGCAGAAAGTTGTCAGGAAACCAGCTAAGAGACACAAGTTGAATTTTACAGGAAAGACTGTTGAAGCAGTTGGAAATGAAAACGATCCTTCTGGTTCATTATCACTAGCTGAGGAAATTGGCACCAAGAGAGACACAGGAGTTATTGTAAGTAAAAGATAATACTGGGAACTTTGTTGCATGCCCACAATATATTGCCCATGTCAACATTACGGTCTGGATGTGATCAAACAACGACAAACAGAATTCTTTTGAATTTTCAAATAACATAGGTTGGCCAAATAAACAGGGTTTTACTAAATATAAAGTTCTGCAATTTTCTTTTTATAGGAAAGCTGTTCGTGCTTGACAACACTGCCTGTCAGTTATGTTTCATGTGTTTGTAATATGGTAGCCAATTATATACCTGCCATAGCACAATGCATTTGGGTCGACAAAAATTTGAAAGAAGAAATACGAAACCTTTTCTTTCAAGAAATAGATTTGGAATTGAAAAACTTATGTTCAAATTTAGATACCATCTTTCGGACAGAATGTGTTGATTCTAAAGCAAACAAAATGACTTTGATGCACAAGAAAAAGAACTTTTGATCAGATGCCCAAGTTTTGCTAGTGCTTTTATCTATACTGACTCCAATAGAAGAAAATTAAAAGACAACAAGATTAAAACAGATAACAACATTAGACCAAGGATTATGACAACTGCTGGTATTCTTCTTCATTCCTGTAGTCAAAGAATGAATTTGCAACAATTTCCAATTATTACCAGTTTTGAATGCACATGTCATGCTGGCATGCGGACGTGGTTTTAACAGCTCTTCGCCAGAATGTAATTCAGTCAGTGTGAGAGATATTTTAATTTTTCTGTCTTTTAATAATAATTATGATTTAGGTAGGCTAATTATAAGTTCGGTTTTAATAATTATCAAGAATGGCTTCTAAGGAGAACGACGATCGCTTGGACGAAATAATCAAATAATCAAAGAAATCTCCGCGCAACACAATGCTGATTTTCAGAAATTGGACAACAGTTTGTCAAACTTTAAGATATTGATGGATTTCATTAACAGTCAATTTGAGAACTTCAAACACACAACAGAAAACCTTCTGAAAGCTAATACGGAATTAGAGAAGAAAAACGAGGATTTATCAAAAGATCTGAAACAAGTAAAGAAAGAGTTGGAAGCATCAATAAAACAACTCAACGATCTGGAGCAATATGGGAGATGTGACTGTATTGAAATTAGTGGGACTCCGCAAGAGAAAAACGAAAATGCTGAGGCCCAAATAATCAAGACTGGCGCAATACTCGACATTCCTGTAGAATCAAAAGACATCCAGGCCTGCCACAGATTAGGAAAAAGACACGACACACCCATCATCTGCAAATTCTTAAACAGGAAAACGGCAACCGCGTTTCTCGCAGCAAAAAAACACACAAAAAAGCCTTTCAGGGGAGAAAAACTTGGCTTCAAAGATCACCCGGAATGTAAGATTTACATGAATGAAAGCCTCACGAAAAGAAATAAGGATCTGATGTACAATATCAGAATGAAGAAACAAGAAAATAACTGGAAATTTATATGGTCTAGAAACGGAACAATGTATGCTCGAAAAGATGAAAATTCCGAATTCCTCAGAATCAACGACGAAGAAGACATTGGGAAAATGGTTTAGCGGTATTTAATCTTCAATCTGTTTTCAAATTATTACGTATCTTTCTGTCTTTACATATATATATTTTTCTGCTAAAAAAGCCCCTCCCTCATGATGGATAGTTTCCCCTGCCCAAAATGTGATTTAATTGTCTCGGAAGACCAAAACTCAATATTTTGCGATGTATGTAAAAATTGGTTTCATTTGAGATGCAGTGGCCTGACACGTCAGAGATTCGAGCACCTAGCCTCTGATTCGTCATCACAATGGTTTTGTAAAGAATGTATCGTTAGCGCCTTGCTCTTTCAAAAAATCAACAATACTCAATTTGTTAACTTAATTTCCTCTACACGGCGACAGGAAATGCTGTATATTGAATTCAACAAACATTCTTCTGTTTGCACTCGTCGTTTTAACAACACTGAAAAAGTGATACCTTGCTATATTTGCAAACACTACATTCATCGGAAATGACTTTGAATTCAAAGCACTGGCACTGCATGCACTGTCAAAATAGCACATTCCCTTTCATACAGTGAGCAATAACGAACTTCTGTCCGAAAACTTCAACTCCAATAATTCCTGCCCTTGTAATAATTCTATGAAAGATCTCACTGATTTTGACTGTGTAAATGTCATTTCAGAACTAAATTTAAATGAACTCGACCTTAACCACTTTCAACCTAATTCTAATAACGACATTGATCATAATTTGAATCTCAACTGTAACTTTGATTACTATACTACTCATGAATTTCATAAACTTCTTTCTAAACTTCACACAAAAACTAATGCATCATTTAGCTTAATGCATACTAACATTGGCTCAGTTAACAAAAACCTCCAAAAAATTGAACTACTAGCTACTCCCTTAAACCTGGTTCCCACTTGGTCGTTTGGGTCGTTGGAGTCATCAGAGTCGTTCCTGAGAGACACGAACGACCCAAAAAACACATTGATTTCCACTTGGTCGTTTGAGTCTTTCGAGTCGTTTGTTGTTGATGCTGTTCATTGCTTGCACCATGCATCGCTCATTTATTTTTGGCGGCATGCGTGGAAGGAACGATGATAGCATTTGATAAACAACAACTGATGTTGCAAAGTCAACTATTTATACCTCTGGTGACTTTGTACAGACGACGATGTTAGATCACTAAATTTCAGTGCAATAGCTTGCCATGATTTGATATTTTTGTATTTATTTTTAAACTATTTCCAGTAATTGTTATAATGGCACTCGTATTTTTGAACTTCTTCCATAAAGCTTGCTGTGAAATATTCAGCTATCTTGTTCTTGTTCTAGTCAAACACGCGGTTACAAGAAAATCTCCTTTTCTTGAAGAAAAGGTTATTAAAGCATGGGTCGTTTGAGTCGTTTGTCGGTTTCCACTTGCAAAAATCATTCATGCATGGGTATTTTGGGTCACGGAGATAGAATTTTTTCTATCTCTGCATAATTTTGACATAATTGCTGTTTCGGAAGCATGGATTACAAAAGACACAGATACCCAACACCTTGCCCTGCCTGGCTATCAAAATTACTATGGAACCCCTGGACTAAGTTGAAAGGGTGGGTGTGGCTTTTTTGTAGGCGATAATATATGTTTTACTCCAAGACCAGACCTGGATATCTCATTTTCTGATAACTCGAGTGAATTTGAAGCGAGTTTGATTGAAATCACAAATCAAGGCAATAAAAATTTCTTAATTGCTGTTATATACCGTCATCCCAGAATGAAAAATGATAATGACTTTTTGAATTACATATCAAATACTATTTCAAACAAAGTCAGGAACGAAAAGAAAACAGTATTTATTACTGGAGATTTCAACATAAACCTGTTAAACATTGATTCTGATGATTATACAAGTGAATACCTAAATTTACTCCTTTCTAATTTCTATCAACCTCACATACTTCAACCAACAAGAATCACCAACATTAATAAACCAACTTTAATTGACAATATATTCCTAAATTCAATCGAATTTGATACAATTAGTGGCAATTTTACCACTCCAATCTCAGATCATCTGCCTAACTTTATTTTTTGTCATAACTTGCACGCAATCGTTAAGAAACCTTTTAGAGGTTTTTACCGTGACTTCAAATTTTTCAACCCTGATAGATATGCATTTGACCTACGTAATGCAGCTTTAGAAGATAACTTACTATCAACTCATAGGGCCAACGAACAATACAATACACTTCATGAAACATTAATTACACTTCATGAAACCAATTTCGAGAAAAGTATATAAACAACGTCAAAAGCCTTGGATTACTAAAGGAATTCTAAAATCAATATCAATCAAAAATAAATATTACAAAAAATTCATGACCACAAAAAAATCAGATTACTATAAGAAATATAAATACTACAGAGATCAAATTGATCATCTTATTAGAAAAAGTAGAAAAGACTACTACATTACCTATTTTGATAACTTTAAAGAAAACACCAAAAATCTATGGTCTGGGGTAAAAGAAATCATAAACAAGAAGTCAAACGATAAAAGTAATGGCCAATATTTACAGATAAATGGGAAACTAGTCTCGGACAATGAAAGAATTGCAAACTCATTCAATAAGTACTTCACAACAATAACTCAAAAACTACAAGAAAAAATGAAGTCATCATCAGTCCACTTTTCTAATTTTTTGCACAATAACAATCCCGAGAGTATATTCCTAGACCCTGTGACTCCTGAAGAAGTAAATAACATCATTGCTAATCTAGATGAAAGTAAAGCAAATGACTCATATGACATTCCAATTAAGTTAATTAAGCTGGTTCGTCATACTCTCTCAAAACCATTCTCGATTATTGCTAACTCATCATTCACAGAAGGAGTATTCCCTGACAAACTAAAATTTGCTAAGGTTTCACCAATTTACAAAAGCAAATCAAAGCAAGAAGTTGGAAATTATCGTCCTATTTCAATTCTTCCTATATTTCGTAAAATACTTGAAAAACTAATGAACCATCATTTGGTTCAGTTCTTAAATAAACACAATATCATCTTTGAACATCAATATGGGTTTCAAAAAAATAAATCAACTACACTAGCAATTCTGGAACTTCAATCACAACTAATCTACAATATTGAAAATAATCTTACATCATGCTGCATATTTCTCGATTTGTCCAAAGCATTTGATACAGTCAACCATAGTATACTACTAAGTACTAAGTAAGTTAGAGCACTATGGAATTAGGGGTGTAGGTCACAGCTGGTTTAAATCGTACTGAGATAATAGAACTCAAATTGTTACTATGAATGGCGAGAACTGTACAGAATTGAAAATTATTGTGGTGTCCCTCAAGGAAGCATATTAGGCCCCTTCCTCTTCTTGCTATACATTAATGATATTTACAACTCCTCCGAAGTCCTTGATTTTCGTCTCTTTGCTGATGACACAAATATTTTATTTGCTGATAAAAGCCTAGATACAATTGAACAAACAGTCAATTATGAAAAAAAATGTTTCTGAATGGCTTCTAGCCAATAAGTTATCACTCAATGTAGCTAAATCAAATTTTCTCATAGTGAGACCTCATAAAAACAATAGAATTGTAAATCTAAGAATTAATGACGAAAATCTAAAACAAGAAACCTCCTCAAAATACCTTGGTGTATTAATTGATGACAAACTTAACGGGAAACACCACATAAACCAATTAAATACCAAAATATCTAAAAGTATTGGTATCCTTTATAAATTAAGACATCTTGTACCAAAAAGCACCCTTGCAACACTATACAACTCTTTTATTAAATCTCACGTTCTTTATGGACTTCTTAACTGGGGTTGTGCTAATAAGACTACTCTTGAACCATTGAAAATAACCCTATGTAAAGCTGTCAGAGTAATAGACTTTGCTTCTTACACAGCTCACACATTGGCACTGGGACTACTTCCAAAAAACTTTGTAGATGCTAGAAAACATGGTGATGGCCCACACATCCGTTTATACAAAGTGCTCTTCTCTTTTTTAAACTTGAATCAAGACATAAATATTCATTTTATAGTTTGTTCACTCTGGCACAAGTGCACTATCTATTACCCCCTAAACTTGCTTATGAGCTAGTTTGGAATAGAAGAAACAACAGCCAAGGCAAGATTGATAGCAATGTAGAAAATGATAGACCTGTTGAGCACCATGTCAAGACCTTCAAAATGGACTGCAGGGACTTTCAGGGCAAAGTATCTTCAAAAAGTATACAAAGAGCTAGTCATAGTTACAATCAAATGAATAAGGTAATGGATAATTTTGACAAGGCAACGTCAGTGAAGAAACAATCTGGTAGGCATTCAAAACCAGACATCAGCAGTGATGTAAGAGATCTTTCAACGCAGTTTATTACAAAAAGAATCTTTGAATTTATACCTGGAAGAAATCATCAGGCATTTCCAGGATTTAAAAAGAATGTGTTGGAACAAATTGACACTGTTGCAGTTTCCGGGTGGATGAAAGAGAAACTCAAAGATTTCCAATCAATGAAAGTGTTCTGCCAATTTCAAGAACCCTTGATAAATCAATAAAGACCAGCAATGGCTGGCTTCTTATCTGATCTAGTACCTGTTATCAAGCAAAATCATTATTGAAAACCAGGAAATAGTGGAAAAATCACAAATTGCAGTGCTTGAACATCATAAGGTATTTGAGATTTTAGCTTAGTAATGAGGGGTCTTATTCCTTAGGAATTCAAGCAAAGCTATGGTGTTTCAAATTTTAGAGAAATCAAATTAGGTAATCTTTTTTATGTCAAAGATCTTTCAGTTGTTTTAGAAAAGTATAAATACCAGTGCATAAACCTTAAATAGACTGAATATGATATTGAATAACTAATCACTGTGAACACCCTATAGGGCTCCTGCGTTGGGAGTTATTTAATTTTAGATGCTCCAGAAGGTACTTAAAACGTGTGGGACTTCTTAAAGTAGTGAAAACATGCATAAAATCAAAATTAAAGGACATATATGCTTTTTAGTTCCTTCATCCAATATCTTGTTGATTCAATACACAATTTGACAAGTCAAATATATATAAATTTTGTTAGAAAATGCTTAAAAAATGAATTAAGTTGAATCATCACTGGATGAAGAAGGTAGTTTTGACTTGTATTTGTTTTGTAGGATGGCAAGATCGTCAGAATCGCAAGAGTCTTCTGAACACCCACTTTCTGATGTCTCGCATGGAGAATCTGAGTGTAATTCGGCAGAGACTTCACTATCAGGCAAAAGAACTCCAGGAATGTTAATGTTCACAAATGAATCACTGTACACAGCTTCAGTGACAATTTCCCATAGAGTTGTGCACAGATCACTGCTAAGGATACACGAGAACCTCATTCTATCTCCAGGCTCCTTTATTCTCGTGCAGTTGCCAACTATGTCATCAATGGCTTTTCTTGGAAAGCCAGATGTTATTTCACTCCCTGTGTACATCTTTGTGGTCGAGTTAGATTTTTAACCTGTATTGAGTCAATTTCTCCTTCAATTCATTTGCTGTTGTGTCTGACAGGACTGCATTGGTAGCAAATGGCTGCAACGATACTTGATTGTGTATCCATTTTTCATATGGTGACAGGACTGCTTGTTCTTTTGAACATTTCTTATTTAGGCCACAATCACATCTCTTGCAGCAAATATCACAACAGTTA